CAACGGATAACCTTATGCCTGTTTCGCGGCGAAAAAAAAGCAAAAGAGCGCAGGAACGGAGGTGCTTCAGTGACATCTCTTTTTCCCAGTGGCTCTGCCTCCGGACTCGGCCTTCTAAGTCCGCCTTCCGGCCAAAAGCGGAGCGCCGGACAAGGAGCATGGAATGCATGCTGCATTGCCACCTGTGAGGTCATAAGGTTCATTGCAAGGAATCAGAAAACGGGGTTCATCCCTGCAGGCGGCCTTTTGCCTTTTTTCCCCGCACAATTGTTTAAGGCCGGAGGGCTACTACCAAAGGCTTTTCGGACCTTCTATTGAATCTTCTGTTCATAGACGAGGCACATGACAACTATTCTTCCATATTTCAACACAATTGCGTACGCTCCTCATCGCAGACCTAATCCTTTGAAGTTACCTAAAGGTCAAGATACTTTGCGACGGTTTCCGATCTATCCCGTATTATGAGTTCCTCTGGGCCGTTTTGTTGTAGTCGAAGGAGCTAACACCTGAGTTGTCTTCAGGAAGGATATCGCTCGCCATGCCACACTGTCCCGTTTGTATCAGCTCTTGCAAGTTGGATTTATTCTATTTGAAGGTGGGCATCGCTTTCTTACGTTACCAAATGTTTGAGTCCATAGGGCCTTAGAATGCTTTCCTATGGTACTTCTTCCATCCACGTCCTTGGTTCTATATTTAGTGTTTGACCCCCACAGCTAAGCGTTTTGAGCGCCAGGCGTGCCTTTAGGCATGAGCTTGAGATAATGTTGGCATAGCTTTCATGATAAGACTGTTCATCTCTTAATATTTTTCTGCATTTTCTGCATTGAGCGTGTTCAAAATTCGGAATCAAGGCTATAGCCCAATCCAGACCGAACGAGTGCTTCCGTTCCTCATGAAAGAATTCACAACATGAGAACATGTTACAAACGACAACGGCAATGTTTGAAAGTATTAATCGAAGTTGTACGTACCGATTCCTAGAAGAAACAGAGCAAATCCAACAGCGGACTTAATAGGCTCTGCTACAACGGGAATAACAAGTAAGGCTATGTTGACGAAAAGGTTCAGGACCGGCCAGAACATGTGAAACTGCAAAATGACTTTTAAGAATGGAGCTGAATGGTAAAATTGGACAGCATCTTACTGTACTGTACTGTACATTGTCAGCTTAGTTTGGGGACCCGGGCGATTCTATCGTCCCAAGTTAGGTCCACGTCGCGCATGCGCGCGCGGCGGCGCGGTGCGACAATTCCCGGAGTTGCATTACGACATACAAATGAGTCTCGAAGACCGCGTATTCACAAGTTCTGAAAAGCCCAAAATTGGATCAGTAATTTTGAGCAATAACGTGGGACCAGTCTTACAGATCGCTGACATTATATGGAAAATGGGAGAAAGCAGTAGCAGGATTACATAAAAATTATGGCTTGATTGATCATTTTTAACCAACTGAACGAGCACGACGCGCATGGACTCCGTACGCGCGCCACCGAGCGCGGCGACCTACTTATCGTGATGAATAGAATCGCCACACAGCGCCGCTCCCAGTTTGTCAAGCCGCGTGTGTGTCTGCCTGCTTGTCACGAAATTCATGCGCGAGTCGCAGTGAGTGTGAGTTGTTGGTTTCTAACCTCATTCACAGGGCGTGTGCCACTAGATATGATGCAGGATGTGGACATAAACATTATAGTTGGGCGACAGAAATACTGGCTAATCTTAAGACCTGATAGGGGGATTCAGAAATGTAGCGTAGCCGCATTCATCTCAAATCTGCTTTTGAAATTTGCACAACTATTGTCTAAACGGAATCACGAAGGTCTGTTTGAATGGAGTGATGCGAGGTTAAGCGCGGTCACTTGCCTACTTGACATTGGTCCATAACAATGCCATTTCTATCCATCAGATCTGGATCACTTTGGTCACCGTTGAGAGTTGCGAAATGCAGCCATATGCTTAAACTGATTTCTAGTTTTAAAGGAAGCATCCTCCACAAAATGCAAAAGTTCGTCTACCTAAAAAACTGAAACCCGCATCTTCATCTCATGCCTGTGGAGCGAGACTATTACGACTACGCGATGCCACCGCTGCGCGGTTATTCAGGCCAATACTGCAAGCGCGCTTAACTCCGTGTCCCTTTATTCGGACAAACCTTCAGAACTCCGTTAGGAGAATTGTTCTGCAAATATCAAAAGCAGATTTTAGATCAGTGTCCCAAAGAACGTTCTGTGACCTATTTCTCATGCAAACGGTACTTGGACCCATCCCTTGTAAGTTTGCTTAGTGTGTCGTAGAGAAGAGAGAGAGAAGCAAGAGAACTGACATATAATCAAGGATTATGAAAATACTTCACACTAAAACTAACAACGATTGTTGGCGTTTGGTGATAGTGACAGATGAGGACTGATAATGGGTTATATCTGCCAGATTCCTTGCCCCTCTCTATATTCATGATCGTGATCAGACAGTGGACCACAGAACGAGAATGGCATGAGGCATGGTGATTTGATACGTGCTTCGAAATTGGGGAAAGGGGCGCTATATAGTGGGCCTATGACAAAAAGCGAGCTTAAACCGCACAACCTGCAGAAAACGTCTATGCTGCTTAGCAAGGGTCGATTTACTAAAAGAATTTCTGAACGAGTTTCCCGTTGGCGTCGTGCCAAAAACCGCTTTGATAGATACGGCTGCACCTATGTATTCATATATCCATGCAGCAACGCTTCATATCAAGTTGTACTTCATAAATGAAACGATAAGAGTATCAGCGTCGCTGTGACTGCTCGTGGACGAGCGGTAACGGTGGGAATCTGTCTCGGCATGTTTCACTTTGGTTATGCGCTATAACGGTGCCCTTGGTTGGAAAAGCACCACGCAGTGTCTTCTTAGAGGATAATATTCTTTCGTGCTGGGCGTATCCACCCTGTACGCCTTGCCGATTTATCATGCTACTGGCGTTATGAAGCGCCTTTCATTTCTTTCATGTTGCCAACAGAAAAAGGGTTTATTCTATCGCTTAAAGGCAGCGTCCGCGTTCGGTTGAGATTTTCCTCTCCATTCGTGAGCAAGTAGTCAGGTCTCGCAGAGGCAACAACTACACCACTTTCGCGGCGCAAAAACGAGTGAGGAGGCCCACGATGCCGTCGTTCTTCTCATTGGCCCAACCCTACAATCATTGGCACCGCCCTCCACTCATTCTAATGGTTATCTGATGGTGCGGTTGTTTCGCTGCTGCTTCTCTCCACGTCGAGTGGTGAGAGTGAGGTGATAAGGGAAAACAGCTGATATCAACAAGTGAGAACTCGTGCGACCGCACCTTCTCTTCGCCTTGAGCACGTACAACCTCAATTAAGCAGGGTTCTATATAGAGCCTTTCCTATGATTTCTTTCTGATTTTTCTTCACTAAGGGGTTACTTGCTACCTTGTTATAAGTATTTGAGCCGCATAACTCATCAAATTTGAATGCGGGCTCAGCCTTTAAACATTTCAAATTGATCAGAATGAGGACACTGGGGTTCTTAATCGCTGCACTGCAGATCATTCTGCCCGGATGTTGGCAATGAACAAGAGCTTGATTGTAAAGTTTTGATTGATAGTAGGAAGGGAGGTTTGATCATAAATGAGAAAAGTAAAGTAGATAAAACTACCTTCACTGCGGTTTTGCTGACAGGAATATTCTTCCACTTGATATAAATGAGAGCTGCAACCGAAAACATTGTAGACATCAACGCTGTTACAGTCAAGTAATTTACCAAAATATACACATCGCCAATTAGGCAAAATACCATGCAGAGAATTGTCTGCAATAGCCTTTAAACAAATGCTTGTGTGTCAGTCGAATAGAAATTCATTTTTAATTTTCTAAACAGATTCGATCAGAATTGAAGCAACAAAGTGATTTAGTTCACAATTAAATAAACAAGATAGACATACGTTCTGGAAAGAACGCATTTGATTGGAAAATGTTATATGATTGGCCAAGTGTACGCATTCAGGGGAGCAGTTTAGCGGTGGAGATGAAGCGCTTCTTCGTTGACGCTAGAGTCTCGGCAACGTTGCCACATACTGAATCCCCAGTTAGGCATTTAAGACGGATAGGTGGAAGATCCAGCGGCTTTGAAGGATCCAGGGTGGCAGACAGCAAAGGTGATAATCTCACAAGTGTTAGTGTGTAGTTCGTATCGGTGACTACGCCAGCGAATTACCATGCTAGTTCAGGGCACATCGTTACGTTGAACGTTCCTCGAGAGATCAAGGGCATGGCATGTATAGGCTGGTAGAATTTTTTTCATAGTCAAATACTTTCTTCTCAACTGCACTGCATTTTCCCCTTCCGTATCTCTGGCGTCCAGCTCTATCACCTACAACAGATATCCCTGTGCTGCACCTCCGTCCTTATACAGACACATTGCGGCGAGGTTGGCTTCTCAAAATTTTCCTTATCGGCAAATGCTCAAGTTGGCTAGCTCCACATAGCTATCATTGACATCCCATCTGTGCGCGTTTTTTCTTTTCGCATTTCAAAAAGAGGACGACTTCCGAAATTTAACATCAAAATGGACTTAATGGTGAGGTAGCGAGGTGACCTCTCACCAAGCGAAACTATACTCCACAGAAGGATGAAATTACATGAGTAAATATTGCTGGCCGAGGACTATCGTTTTCGGGATGGATAAGTGACCACACTGACGGCATCATTCCACGACGAGAACCAGCTAGCATATATCTGTAACCATGAAAGTTTATCGGTAATTCTGACGTGTTTCTCGTCACCATTCAGAATGCATACAACTTTTTATATCTAATTATTAAGAGGGATTTACTCGCTATCAAAACAGTATTATTGACTTTCTATAAATTCCCCTGATATACAAACTGCGTTGATATAACTCATTCGAACATCCCCATGATGAAAGAGATCCACTCACCTACTCCAAGCAAATATCTCTGCATTTACTGTTCCCAGCATAAGAAAACCAATTAGAGCTGGCATTGCATACGATGCCGATCCAATGGTGTGTTGTGCAAATGTCTGCAATGTATTTCTAAAAAATGCGTAAGTTGGACTGGAGGTTCCTTGCAAGGTTGCCAGAGGCCAAACAAGAGTACGCAAGAACTCTAGTGGCAGAGGGTGTCCTATGAAGAAACAAGATGCGACTGACAATAAGAAGTCGCCGTTGCCAGATTTAAGCTCTTATTCGAACAGTAGTGATACGATAGATCGTTTTTTGTCAAAAATCAATGTGGAGGTGCAAAGATGGTTCATTAGTAAAAGAAAATCGAAAGAAATCGCCGGAAGTTTCTGGAATGGACCTCTATTGGTGTAACTTCTGCCACAATGTTTCAAGTTCCAATGAAGAACATAGGTGGTTTGAATTATAGACAAGAGGGGAGCACGCTCCTTCTTGGCGGAACGAGGCAAAAAATTTATTCTGAGTTTCAGCACCTTTTCAAGCAAAAGAGACAAGAGCATACGTCATTTTGTTTTGACACATTGTCCCGCTCCTTCTGGCTTCTCACCTTATTATCAAAGCCAAATTATCGTTGCCAACTACTTCATAAATTTAGTGTAGGACTCTCAGGAAAACATTTCGTGGAAATTTGATACCGTTGCTACAGCGGAAGAATCAAGTATTTGCTGAGGTGTAAGCACAGCGAAATACGCCACATTCGCCAATACATAGATAATGGCGCTCACGAAAAGACCGCTAAGAACCGCTACTGGAACTGTCCTAAAACAAGTGCAATAGTCAATGCAGTATTACTGTAAGCATCCTTCTTTGACTACGCTAAATGCTTCTCCGTTGTAACTGAAGTTGTGGAATAATGTTGTTATGAGAAAGCGCTTTACCTCAGCGGATCTCGAACCCGGATCTTGAACTTTCAGACGAGTGCATGACACTACTAGCGTTACGTTATATTCTAGCCAAATCATGATGCTCGCTTGTGAAGATGTTTGTCTCTTTCACAGTAACATCTTACACAAAGGGATGTCTCTAAGGTAGTGCCTCTGATGCAGCATTAGCTACCATCTTCTCTAATCTATCACCCCCCCCCCTTAGGAACAAGACTTGGACAAACTGTACACTCACCTCCAATGAAGTTAAGGGTAGAAAAAAGTGACAGAGCGAAGACAGAAAGCAGATCAGCTATAGTTCGGTGTGGTTTGGTATCTAGACGGCACCCTGGCACTACTGTCTTATAGCCCCTTCCCGCGCATTTTTGAACTGAGGAGGTGGCTCGCTATGTAGCTGCGCATCTATCCAATTCTCACATGGTACGGACCAGGATTTGCAGGTGAGTGTGCAGTTTATCTTCAACGACTGACATACTATATGAGCACTTTTCCTCTTTGATATATTTTCAGTATTGAAGCAGCTGAGCGTAACTTTTGAAATTTTTTATCTGAATATCCTCCATGCCATAGTTGAGAATCGTATAACCACCATAGGCCCAGTTTCCTTGATACAAGCCTAACACAATTTGAGTAACAGACCAGTTACTGTCCTTGAAAATGTAGTCCTTGCTGAAGTGCTGAGTCTCGCCTGAAACACTATTATTCGAGCGATGCAAGAGCTATGACAATATCAAATTAATGCTGAATCATGAAGAGAACGTTTGACCCTATTGAAGCTCCTATCTGCACCTCACGCTTCCCGGAATAGTATCTGCAACATTACCCCATCTAAGTCGCCTTATGATTTCTAAGTTTAATTGTACATGTCATGGTTTATCAGTAGCCACACGTATGTGTAACGCAACGGTTCTTCAGCCGATGACGGCAGCACACCGCGAGGCTGAGAGCTTTACTTTTTATTGTGTGTATGTCCATAACTGAACATTCCTGCAATAAATTTCACTTTCATTTTTGACCTTTTGAACACGTGGTGTCTATCCGGTCTCACAGGAGAACTCTAAAAAGTAGGTTGTCTAAGGACACGATTCACGTCGACTAAAACTCCTAGGCCAGGAAAGGCAAGCACGTTGGCGAGAACATTAGAAAACAACTGCATGTTGAACTCATACCTTTGAATATCATGTAGTACAAACCAATTCCTATTATCATAACTAACGCTGCAACTTTTGCTGTCATACTGGCAAACTGAATACGACCGGCGACTCTGCTTAGCGAATACATGTTCAGCAACGACGTCGACACTAGAATATAATTTAGCATTGGAACCGATAACCCGTGGTTTTTTACAGTATTTATTCAATTTTGGTAATTTTAACAGTTGACAGCCTTCAAGTGTAGGTAACATCTGATGAGAGACATGTCGGCACATATCTAAATCTGGCTGGAACTGGAGCCACTCTCAGTATCTCACATCTTTGGCCTACTCTAAGTATGTCAACTTCCTATTCAGGTTGATAGTTACGCGTCTTACGAATCAGGGGGAAAAATTAGGGGAACTTTTCGGAGCCTCCATGCGCCGTATATCATTTAGCCTATAACCTATTGCTGATGGTGAGTAGAAGGTGCTTTCAAAAGGACAATTGACTTATGCCACTTGCTTATAAGTAAGCGATGGTTTCTTTAACATTCGGAGCTACCGATGCTCAAAACGATCGGATGACCTCGTGGTTACGGTGGAACACTATCGTTGACGCATTAAGAATGGGGCTGGTGGGTTAACTTCCGAGAAGGCAACTTTACGCGCTCTCAAGACCTCGAGATTTAGCCCCATGAGTCATAGCTACCACCATCTTCGCATACCATCGAGAAAGACAAGACAAACTCGATCGCTGGCGGTTAATCAGAACCCCGTGCACGACCAGCGTAAAGCCGCATTATTCTCTCACTGAACGCGTTAAGAAGTCTTGTATAAATGACATCCGGCGCCATCCTGGCGCTAAATTGCGTTGAGGCAAAGTAATC